AGCTGTCTGTTGCCATTTCCAGCCTGGTTCTGGGGAGGAGCAGGAGAAAATTCGCTTTAGCCTCAGGGGTCATACGTGCCTGCAAGCTGTGTAAAGACCTCTTTTGTCATTGTTGTTCAGTCACTCAGTCGTGTCCGACTGTTTGTGACCCTGTGGACTGCAGCACGCCAGGCTTCCCTGTCGTCCACTGTCTCCTGGAGTCTGCACAAACCCATGTCCATAAAGATTTGGTTTTACTTCGAAAGAAATACTATCTTGATTGAAAGTATAAATCAGTTTTCAAGTTGAATAAATTAAAAGCAGAGCACAGCCACCAGACGAGGTTCAGCTTGATACGTAATAGACCGCTGAGAGGGATTCATCAGACAGACCTAAGGGGTCAGTCCCCGTTTAGTGACTGCAAGCTTGTTAGGCAGACCAAAATGATTTCATGTTGAATATGAAATCTTCATGATGCAGACTATACCTTTCACCTTGTCAGATTATAAATGATCCCTGGAACTGTCTGGGATGCTGGGTTTCTTCCAAGCCTGAGGAACAAGCTCTGCATTTTGGCCACAGCACTCTCTTGGGATGGCATCTTAGTGCTGGCTCCAGAATTCTCTGTCATGCAAAAAAAAAAAAGGGAAGAAGAAAATATTAGCCCACATATCTTTATACTTCCATGTCTTGTCCATAACTCTCCCCTTCACTCCCACCCCCTACTAAACAGGACAGAATATCAATCATGGAGACAATTTAAGTGAGTATTATGAACAGTCTCCTACCTGGAAGAATTATTATTAAATGTTTCTTTATTAAATTGGTTATTTGAAACTCAATGCATCTCCCTTAGTTAAACAGTATTATAAACGATGATTAATTTTGATTCTAAATTAATCCAATTACTGAGAAGAAAGCTTCTTCCTTTTTTCTAAAACTGACAGACAGAAGGAGTATTTCAAAAGGTTTCTGAGCTTGCCTTTGGCGTTCCTCTCTTCCTTTTACCTCCTAGGGCCTCTGGGCCCATATACCTTCTCCCTAGTTGGTTACCTTATCCAATCTACTTTATTCCCTGAAGTATTCCATGTTGCTACATTATATTTCTTCCTTTTTACCCTAAAACCAGAAACTCAGACACTTTCAATGGAATTTACCTCAGGGGTTGAGAGGAAAGCTAACTTGATCACTAAATTCAGACAAAGCAGAATGAAGGCCCTTCAAGGGGTGTATGTCTCCTTATGCCCCTTTAAATTGTGAAATAGGGTTCTGTACTTCTTATAAGAGAATGCTAGCTGCTGCAAGTGAATCTTAGTAGAAGTTTGGCTAATGTGACCAAGTGAAATGAAAATACAGTGGTTATGAGAAGTGTTTGAGTATGTTGGTGGGAATTAGGCTTCTGTTCTTCCTTTTCATGAGTTTTCTTCCTCCAGTTTAGTTTCAGAGTTTAGCACTTTTGGTCAGGGGCTGGGATGGGGAGAAAAGTAGGGGAGGACGGAGGCAACAACAAGCCATTTGCAAACGAGAATGCTAATTTCTCAGCAGACAACCAGACAGAAAGTGCACAGGTCCTAACTGAGTGACTGTAGGTAAGACTGACCTAAATCTCTGGGAGCTTGAAAAGTTACCCATACTTCGGTGCATTTAAATTATATATGAACACTATTTAATCTGTATAGACCTAGAAAATATTTTTAGTCCAGTAATTAATTCCAGAGTTTGTGATCTGAAGTAAACCATACAGAAGAGAAGGTGCTTGTGACTTCATCATATATTCTTATTTACTCTTTATGAGCACATAGCTATTAATAGTAAGGCTAGTCAAGAGACAAAAATTGTCTTCTGTGCTTCATCATCATGTCCTGTCATTTCCTCTTGCTTTGGTTTACCTAGGTATTTTCAAAATCCTCAGTAGATAATTTCACATCAGGCATGTAATCAGAATGAAGATCAGGTGTCTGGAGTGCTGTGTTTGAAAACGGTGTGCTCTGGTGCCTGGTTAAATAATGTGGGGCTTATTTTCTGGCAGAGTGGTGTCACATCTCCTTTGATGTTGGCCAGAACTGGGTGGGGTTTCTTAAGCTGCAGCGGAATTTGCTCAGGCTAGGGCTCTGTGCACCGGGGAGCTGGTTTTCAGTCTTTCTCTTTGCCAAAAGGCTTTTGCCTTTTTAAATAAACCTGAACCCAGTTATAATTGAGAGTACTTGATGTATAAAATAATAGTCACACGGAGGGTCCAAGTGATGAAACTGAATTATAAGTAGTTTATCGAATAGTCAACCTCAGGAATTGTTTCACATACCACTCTCATTTTACAGCCTAGGGAATTCAACCCTGGAAGGTGATCCGCTCAAAGCCAAACTGAGAATCAGACTGAACTAGTGAAGCACGGAAATGTCTTTAACCAGCTTTCTTTCTTATCTCCTGTCAGCAAATTCATTCAAAGTTAATAGTATAAGCAACTATATTCAGTATTTTGCAATAGCCTATAAAGGAAAATAATCTGAAAAAGAATATATATATATAACTGAATCACTTTGCTGTACACCTGAAACATTGTAAATCTACTATATTCAATTAAAAAGTCCAAACTCAGATAAGTTTCTCTTTTATCTATGCAAATAGAAGAAGGAAAGCATAAATAGTCAATGTGAGATAATTTTTTAAATGTAGATCCTTCTCATTCCCAAGAATATGTTTTTGGATTTTCTTGAGTATCCAGATTAGAGAAGGACACTGTGTGAATAAATATTATTAAGTGACCTTAAATGTTTCTGTATGTGTTGGATGACATTCATTCATGAGCTCATTAAGATCAATTTTGGAGCATTTGCAGAACTAGCTTAACAGATTTGTAGAGCACCTAAGGAATTTATTACACATGTTTTAGAGTAGAATAATTATAATTGAATAATTTTCTCTTTATTGAAAACTGGGCCTTTTGGGCTGAAAGCCAGTATTTTCACTTCTACTGGCTAGTATTGCCTTTACAGAGTCACTTTCCATAAGTATATTGTGTATGTGTTTAAATCATACTTCTATTTATATGTGATGACATGAAAAGAACAGCTAAACTGTGTTGAAAAGCAGATGCTGGGTGGTTGGCTGCACAACCCTCCCACTTTCCAGCTTTCAGATTTTCTATCAATTTTACCCTCTTAAGCTGAATGTAAGCTGCTGTTGCTATTCCGTAAACCACCTATCAGCCGAGAAAATGGTTTGGGAGGTTGCAAGGCAGGGAGGAGAGTAAGATTACAGTGAATAAAAAGCTGCCCTTTGAGAATCTGCACTCAAATAAATGAGGTTTAAAAGGTTTTGCTGGTTTTGCTTGTGTTTTCACCAGTGTCCTAAATTAGGGAAAGTTTTGAGTAGATTGCATGAAGTATTATAGAAGAATAGATCTGTTGGGCTCTTACTGTATATTTTTAAAGATGGTAGAGGTGTTCTTACAAGCTCTCTTTGACTATGAAACTGTTTATTTATAGACATCCTTTATTGTTTTTTGCTTCTAACAGCTTTCAAAGGCTAACTGTAATAATAGTTACCATAAATAAAAAAGAGAAAAGCAGTTCCTTTTTATGGAACCCTTTGACATTCATCAGGCCTTTACAAAATTCTTTTTTTTTTCTGGCTGTGCTGTGCGGCATGTAGAATCTTAGTTCCCCCACCAGGGATTTAACCCACCCCTGGCAGTGAAAGTGAGAGTCCTAAACACTGGACTGCCAGGGACTTCCCGTATACTTTTTTTTAAACCAGTGTGTTTGTGTACATTTATGTATATAAGATTTTTAGCTTTTTAAAAACTGCTTTTCTTCATCTATCTCTCTATGGCTGTGCTGAGTCTTTGTGGCTGAGAGTATTTCTCTGTAGTTGCAGCAAGCAGGAGGGGCTGCTCATTGTGGTTGCTTCTCTCGTTGCTCAGCACGGGCTCTAGGCTGGGCGGGTTTCAGTAGTTGGGGCACGTGGGCTCAGTAGTTGTGAATCCTGGGCTCTATCAACAGTTGTGGCCCACAGCCTGTGGGATCTTCCCAGATCAGGGATTGAACCCATGTCTCCTGCACTGACATGCAGATTCTTCACTACTGAGCCACCAGGAAAACCCTGCCATGTACTTTTTAGTTTCAGGTTATGTTTAAAAATTGAAAGCTTGGTTGGTGTTCTGTAAAGATAGTAATGTCCATGACCACAGAGACTGCCTTCTCTAGCTCATTCAGGGAAGATGCCTGCATTTTTCATGCCAGCAGGGCCAAGTTTGACCAAGTCCTTTGCAAGTGATTCATGAAGCAGTATTTGGGCCCAGATTCCTAGTCTCTGGTAAGGAAAAGTGATTTCACTTGCCTGATAGTATTTAACCTTTTTTAAAAATAAAATGGGAATGTAACCTAATCTGACCTCCTTTTGTATGTATTTTTTCCCTGGTGGCTGAGTTGGTTAAGAATTCGCCTGCAATGCGGGAGACCTGGTTTCAATCCCTGGGTTAGAAAGATCCCCTGGAGATGGAAACAGCTACCCACTCCAGTATTCTGGCCTGGAGAATTCCGTGGACTACAGTCCATGGGGTTGCAAAGAGTTGGACATGACTGAGACACTTTCACTTTCATTTTAAGAATTACTCTGCAACATGATTTGGAAATTAAGATAAATGGAATAGTTTAAAGGGTTTTGAAGACTTGAAATCAAAAGACCTGATTTGAATTCTTATGGCTAATAAACTTGGGTAAATATAGGGGTCTTTTTTACCCTTCACTTTTCTTATTGTTGAAAAGGACGGAGTGACACTTGCTCTGTTTACCTCCCAGGATGTGAGGAAGAGAGTTTACTTTGGGTAAGACAGTCTGTTACTGAGCTTTGATTTTCCATTCTATAAAATGGGAGAGTCTCTTTTAGCTTGAAAATTTTGCATTTTAATTCCTTGTTTGTTTAAAACAATGACAAGAGTTTCTAGGAATGTTTTCTCTTTGGTACTGCTTGTCATATGAACCCTTGTTTCCCCATTAACCAGGCAGTTGCAGTGGTGCAGAATGGCTGACCTCAGTCTTGCAGATGCGTTAACGGAGCCGTCTCCAGAAATTGAGGAAGAGATAAAACGGGACTTTATTGCCACACTGGAGGCAGAGGCCTTTGATGATGTTGTGGGAGAAACTGTTGGAAAAACAGACTATATTCCTCTCCTGGATGTTGATGAAAAAACCGGGAATTCGGAGTCAAAGAAGAAACCATGCTCAGACACCAGCCAGGTTGAAGGTAAGTAATTAAATTAAACTGGATATAGGTTCAGAAAGTAGATTAGGGATTACACTTTGGGTCATAATCTTATAAACTTTTGAGGAAACTAAAGTGAGTTTTTAAGTATAAGTTAGTAACTTTCTCTTTACCTACATTTCTTAGAAACCAAGGAGGTAGGTTCATTACCTTTTAGTTGAATATGTATTCTTCAGGCTGTAGATTACTCTTAACCTTCTCTTAACCCTAAAGTTTCTTCTGTAATGTCTCAACTACTGTATAATCTGCTTATTAATTTCCTAAATTAAACTGCCTGCTATGCCTTTTCTTTGAAAGTAGCTTTGTAAAGTTAGATACTTTATATTTATACCAAGACTTAATTTGGATTGGAGTCAGATGCCACCTGTCTTTGAGAGTAATCCTAGGTCAGGATTAAAAAATTGATTAAACCCCTTTAAAAGAGATTTGCTGCCTTTATATATTGCTGGATCAAATTTGCTAACATTTGAGGATTTTTGTATTTATGTGTATGTGGGATATTGGTCTGTTTTCTTGTGAGGCCTTTGTCTGGTTTTAAAATTGAGGTCATGTTGACATCATAAAATGAGTTGGGAAGTGTTCCCTCCTATTCTGTTTTCTAGAATGGTTTGTGTTGAATTGATTTTTTTCTTTAATGTTTGACAGACTTTGTCAGTGAAGCCATCTGGACCGGGAGTTTTCTTTGTCAACTTTTTGACTAAGAATTCAGTTCCTTTCAGAGACAGAGAACTGTACATGTTTTTTCTTCTCAAGTGAGCTTTGGTGGTTTGTATCTTTCAAGAGATTGGTCTGTTTCCTCTAAGTCATTGAATTAATGGAGATGAAATTATAATATTACCGTATCCTTCTAATGTTGATGATCTCGTCATGTTCTCTCTTTCATTATGAAAATTTGTTTCCTCTTTTCATTTGAGGAGTCTATATACTAGTTTGTTAGTTTAGTTTTTTTTTTTTTTAAGATCCAGCTTTTGGCTTCATAGGTTTTTTTTTTTTTCTAGGTATACAACAGACTCAATATTTGTTGTCAATATTTGTATGTATTGTGAAATGATCACTATAAGTCTAGTTAACATCCATTACCACATATAGTTATACCTTCTCTTCCCCGTGTGATGAGAATTTCTAAGGTCTATTCTCTCAGCAACTTTCAAATATGGTACAGTGTTATTATTAACTATAAAACTATGCTGTACATTGTATCTTCAGGATTTACTTATTTTATAACTAGAAGTTTATATCTTTTGAACTTCTTTCACCCATTTTTCTACCCACCCCCCACCTCTGGCAACCACATAAAATAGGCTTTTAATGTTATAAATTTCTCTCTAATCCTAGTTGTATGTGTCCCATAGATTTTGATATGTTATGTGTTTTATTTTCATTCAGTTCAAACATTTTCTGTTTTGTCTTATGAATTCCTCTTCAATCTATCAGTTATTAGAATTATGTTAATTTCTCAGTATTTAGGGATTTTTTTTAGATATTCTTCTATACTTGATTTTTGGTTTAACTGTTGTGGTCAGAAGACATCCTTTAAAATTTCAGTTTATTAAAATTTTGGGGGGGTTTCATTATATGGCCTGTCAAGGTCAGTGTTCTGTGAGCACTTGCAATAAAGTGTACAATGCTGTTATTTATTGTGTGAAGTAGTCTTATTAATGTCAGTTAAGTCCAGTTGGTTGATAGTGTTATTCATGTTTTTCATATCCTTGCCTACTTTACATTTACTTGTTCTCATGACTTGAGAAAGATATTGAAGTTTTGATGTAATTTTGTGGATTTGTTTCTCCCTTCAGTTCTGTCAGTTTTTGTTGCATGTTTTTTGAAGATCTCTCATCATGTGCATATACATTTACATTGTTATGTATCCTTGATGAATTGACCTCTGATTGTCTCTATTCCTGGTAATTTTCTTTTTTCTGAATTCTAATTTTCATCTTGCATTAATGTAGCTACTCTAGTTTCCTTAGTTAGTGTTTGCTTGGTATGTCTATCTTCTTCCTTTCACTTTCAACGGGTTTCTTTTTTAATATTTATTAATAATGGGTTTCTTAGAATATAGATGGTTCTTGCTTTTAAAATCTAACCTGATGAACGCTTGTCTTTTAGTTGATGTGTTTAGACTATTTATTGGAATAGTTCATGTGATTATTGATATGGTTGGATTTAATCTGTCAGTTTGTTGTTAGTTTTCTGTTTCTTCCATCTGTTCTTTAGTCTAGTTTTCTTTTTCTATCTGCTTTTGGATTAAGTGAATATTTTTATGATACTGTTTTAACTCTAGTATTGTCTTGTTATGTACATTTCTTTTAAAAGTTGTTTTATATTTGACCTAGATTTTACAGTGTACATTTTAAATTTCTTCCAGTTTGCCTTCCAGTAATATTCTACCATTTCACCTAGAGTGTAAAATTCCATGCAAAACAGTAAATGTCCAATTTGTCTTTCATATTTTGTGTTAGTCATGCACATAATTTGACGTGTTTTTGTGTTAGTCATATACATAGTTTGACATGTGTTAGTTACCTACATTGTTACTATTTTTGCTTTACATTGTCAACTATCTTTTAGAATGAAATAAAAATATGGAGGAGAATGCTTTACTCTCATTTTTACTATTTTGGGCATTCTTCATTTTGTGTGTGTGTATGTAGACCCAAATTTCTGTCTAGCACCATAGTCTTCCTGCCTAAAAACTTCCAATACTTCCTCTCTTACAGTACAAATCTATGTAACAGTAAATTATCTCACCTTTTTTAATTTGAGAAACAAACCTTAAGTTTTGGAAGGTATTTTTTGCTAGGTGTCATACTCTGTTAAGTCTTTTCTTTCAGTAACTTAAAGGAAAATTAGTCTTCCTACTTGCAGTTTCCGATAAGAAGTCTGTTAACAATCTTGATAGTTATTCCTTTTATTCCCTTCCTCTGCCTGCCTTAAAGGTTTTATCTTGATCTTTTAGCAGCTTGAATATGTTGTGTTTAGATGATAAATACCTTTAATAAATACCTTTTTAAAAAAAGGTATTTTTTTGTCTGCACCAGGTCTTAGTTGTGGCATGCGGGATCTTTCAGTTGTGGCATGCGAACTCCTGGTTGTGGCATGTGAGATCTAGTTCCCTGATCAGGGATTGGACCCAAGAGCATTGGAACCTCGAAGTCTTAGCCACTGGACCACCAGGGAAGCCCTAGCTGATATTTTGCCTTGCTAGCATTCTCTGAGCTTGTTCTCTGCTTTGCCTCTTTCTTCTTCTCTTCTCCTTCTGGGATTCCAGTTACTTTTTTGTTAAATTGTTGAGTATTGTCCCACCGATCTTGGATGCTTTGGTTTTTTTCCTTCCCTCTTTTTTTCCCTCTTTATGTTTCATTTTGGGTATTTTCTTTTGACATGTATTCAAGTTCCCTGATGTTTTTTGCTGGCTGCATTGAGTCTAATAATGAATCCTCAGTGACATTCTTTATCTTTAATATTTTTACTGTTTTTAACTTACAGCATTTCTATTTGACCTTTAGAGCTTCCATCTCTCTGCTGAAGTTATTTATCTATTAATGCTTATGTCTGTCTTTTTCACTATAGACTTTAACACATTAATCATAATTTTTAAATATTTTCCAGTAATTTAAATATCTGGGTCATTCCTCCGTCTGATTCTTTTGTCTCTTCGCTGTTTTTTTCTGGTACTTTTTATGTGTGTGTTAATTTCTGAGTGACTTCTAGACTTCACATGTAAAACAGACTGAGATAAAAAAGGATTTTTGCCTGGAAATGAGTGTATGGTTAGGCTACTCAAGATGGCTGTTCTCTTGCTCTCTGTATGTACATCCCCTGTCCGACCAGTGCCTGCTTCACGTATGCCCTACTCACATGACTGACCTTCCTACACACTTGCCCTTTCCTAGCTGGTGATTGTTTTTTATCAAAGGGGCCATGAGGGCTCTGCCCCTCCACTGGTTTCCTGATGCCTAATGAGCCCTCCTGACATCAAATCCTGTATAACTGATAATCACCCCTGCCATCTGGGAGCAAAGACTGCCTGCATGTCCTAAGCCTGTCTTCCGCTGCATATGGCGGGGTATCTATCACTCCAGGACCTTGCTTCAGCTGTGTGAGGTCCCCCATCCATTTCACCGTTGATGTCTCTGTTGCTGACTGTGGGCTCTTTCTTCAGTCTTGGAACTGGGCAAGACCTTGTAGTCTTGGGGGTTACAGCTCAACAGTGGCATAGCTCTTCTTTTACTAGGTAGTTTGTTCAAAGTGTTGAGGCTAGGGCTGAGCTCGGGTTGGGCTTTGCTGTTACTGTGATGATCTTCATTGCACTACTGGCTTTAAATGCATCTATTCCTGGTTCTTAGAGTAGGGGCTGAGGGGCTGAACGGCCTGTTGTCAGTCCTTGTTCCACTCGCAGCTTTTGGCTTCTGCTGTGCACCTGTGCCTCTTTCCCCTCCCTTGTCAGAAGAGGGAGGGGTAGCCTGGGAGGGGCAGGAGTTTTGTTTATTTTTGTTTTTTGGTCTTGGTTTAGGCTCAGTCTTGTGTGCATGTATCTCATGGCTGAGTGTTTTTCTCAGTAATATTATCCCTCTTACATGGATAGGGTTTTCTAAGTATTGGTGTAGGATCCTGGGCTCAGACTTTTTCTGGCTCCTCCCTAAAGTAAGAGGGGATTTTTCTCCTTACTCCTTCCCCAGCTGCATTAGGCCTTCACCTGGCCCTGGGGTTGACAGGGTTTGATACTTCTTCCCCAGCAGCTGAAAGCTTTTGTTTGCAGAGGGGAGAAAGGCCCTAGGGGACAGGGCTTCTTGCCTTTGCTTTAGTGGCACCTTTTTTTAGCCTGCACCATGGAGGGCAGCACCCTGGTGTCCCCCCTCCCCGCCGCCAGTCTTTGTAACCTGCGAGTGGATTTTAAGTCCTTTCGTGTCTGTGGAGCCCAAGGACCCCTTACTCTCATGCTAGCCTTCACTTAGCCTTTAGCAGGGCTTCCCTGGTGG